CTAACTGGGATTAATCTTACAATTAAATTTAGATGACTTGTCAACTAAAATACCTGACTAATCATGATGTCTAATCAAACATACAATTTACAAACGAATGGTAATGAGTCATCATCACAATTACCTTAAAAAGATTGCCTACTTTGTATTCTGCTCACAGCATGTATGATGAATGACTCATCAACTTAACTAGGATTCAGACGCAGGTAATATTTGATTTTGTTAAGACTAACCAGTATCTATGACTTAAACATCGCTTGTTGACTAATAAACCAGAATGAACTGATATAAAATAGTTTTAAAGCATGAGTCAATTGAAGCTAGACCACCATGGAAAACCTGGAAACACTGGACGGCGCACTGCTGAGGAGTCCCATAATAGGACGAAACGGCCGTCCAGTGTTTCCAGGTTTTCCATGGTGGTCTAGCTTCAATTGACTCATGCTTTAAAACTATGAAAAATACTAAATCTCCACAAAACCCCCTCTGATAATTGATATAAAATACACTAGCGTCAACAACTAAAGTTAAATGCATGAAAAAGAAAAAAACCTACGGATAGTTGATTGAACACTATGGTTTAATTTTACTTTTTATTTTGGTGAAGGTGATAAAGATTTGTTTTATTTATTTATTTGAACACATAAATATTAGTACAAAGAGGTATCGAACACATATATCGACCACACAAGTCACTTGATCTGTATGTGGGCTATGATACGGCTCGGATACCCAAAACGAAGCAGGCGGTTTTCTTAGGTGGTCTCACCCGGAGCCTTTGACCTAAAGATCTGATCCACAAGGCAGTGGAGCATCGTAAGGAGATGCAGTCCCATGGTAGCCAGTGTCCAACGATTTATTCATACACCATTTGTTCCCTCATGATACTGGAGCTCATGTGACCATTGGTTTGGAATGAGGGTTTTCCAACTCCCCTAGGTGAACTTTCCGTATCCACTAACCCGGTTAAAGCGTCGTACATTCGCCTTTTGTTCTCTCAATTTGGTAAACAACACCCGTGGTGCGAGAAGGCAGTGAGTAGGACTTCCCTGGCAGTAGTTGTATACGCGTGACCATGTGAGAGCATTTTAAGAGAGAGAACGTACTCTCACCCCCCTCGACCGTACCAGGGTATTTGGGAGCAATAAAAGACTTGTACTTTATGGTAGTGGTCGTAAAAATGATGTTATCCAGTGTATCAATGAAAATATCATGGTTATACTGTTCATCATAGAGGATTCAACGTAATTAACATTAATTCTCGAAAAAGTGTTTGAATAAAATCTTGTAAAATTGTTTTCGTTTTTTAATTTATCCGAATGCTCAGTATGTACAATTATCGGTTATTGAATCAAGAGATTCAATAACCCCAAATGCCCAGGTACGGCCCTCTCGAAATACTCTCACATGGCCAAGCGAATATATCCCCTCCGTCAGGGAAGTCCTACACAGCCGGGTGGGGTGTTGTTTACGAAATTGAGAGGAAAAAAAAGCGAATGTATGGCGCTTTAACCGGGTTGGTGGACACAGAAAGTTCACCTAGGGGAGTTGGAAAACCTTGATTCCAAACCAATGGTGCGCATGTGTAGTATCGGTTGTTATGATCAGCCCATATACCTTATTCTAACTTCTGGACAAGTCAATTCACCTACCCATCATGAGTCATGTTTTCACCTTGTTAATTATTCACTTATTAACCCTGACCATTTTTATATGATCGTAGGCGTGTGTACACTTCTTATCCCATTTATCACATGTCTGTCATTTATTCTTGTCTGACTATAAATATTGATTAACGCTTGATTAAAGTGAGTTTGCTTATCCGCCATCTCCAATGTGTGTCATTTTTGTTTCGTTTGCTGATATTTACTCATGTGCTTTTAACTTTCTGGCTTAAATCATTTGTCAATAAAACTGTATCTGCCGCTTCTCTTTGCCTTCTGATTTTATGCACCATTAGGATTTGTGTTATAACGGTTATTGAGGTGAATGATTAGCGAAGCACGGCACTACACATGGGCTCCACTATCCTGAGGAAACAAATGGCGTATGAATCAATCGTCGGTCACCGGCTACCATGAGACTGCATCTCGTCACGATGCTCCACTGCCTTGTGGATCAGACATTCAGGTCAAAGGCTCCGAGTGTGGTCCCCTAAGAAAACCACCTGGTTCAGTTTGGGCACCTGGGCAGTATCACAGCCCTCACACAAATCAAATGAGATTTGTGCGGCGCATATATATCTGGTGCCTCTTTGTACCAATATTTATGTGTTCAAATAAATATATAAATGATCCTTGTAAAAGGTAAAAAAAATTAGTTGTATCATATTTCTTTCTTTTCATGAACTTATTGCAGGAAAAAAACAGACTGGTGAAACAGTGAAACAAATCAAAATCTATGATTCGTTCATTTAGATATAATGAAAAAGTGCAAAATGAAATCAGATCATATTTCACTGTACCAAGAACAATATGCACAGTCATTATTTTTGTTCAAAATACACTCAGATAAATCTCATGTTAATGAATTGATTTTAGTTACCACACATGAAATCTGCAATCATTTCAAGTCATACGATTCATAAAAATTGGATGATATATTCGATCTTGTATGAGATCAGAGAGGTTTACTATTGCTATCTCATAATATATTATCACAACCGTCATCCAGTATTCTCTTGATCTTAACAAAGGTGTTGCTGTAGGGGCTGGTATTATGTCAAGCCCACGTAGGTTATTCTAGCCTCTGGACAGATCATTCTATACATCCTTCTCAAGCCACTTGTTTACCCTGTCACATATTAACTTATCAACCTTGACAGTTTTTTTTATAGGCGTATGTGTGTACATCTCTTATCCTACTCATTACATGTCTGTAACTCATTTTGTCTGATTATAAATATTGAATGACACTTGCTTAAATTGAGTTGGTTTATGTGCGTTCTCTGCTGCGTGCCATTTTGCTTCGCTCTCTTCTTCTCGGTTAGTTTCTCTGGTCGTTTGTCTGGATCAACGTTTATATGAAATACACGTATTCAGAATTCATTCTCATATTTGACTGATTTAATTTCATCATTCACTAACACGAGTTAAGACGATAGTTATATACGAGGGTGGCCAGGATTGGTGACATCTATATTTCAATAACTCAATGACAATCAACCTATAGTCCTACCTGGAGCCAGACATAGGGCTACAGAAATATCAGTCAATAGTGATAAGTAATCTTGATGACTTGCTGAAAGAATTGTCGAAGTTTTGATAGGATTTTGTGTTCGATAGATTTTAATCCTGGTCAGCGGTTATATTGGTGAGTGAATTACATGTTTGTCAAGGTATTTCTTAAATTCATTAGAAATGTGAACCAGTGATTTGTTACTTAGTAAACTAAAGGTAACGAGAAATGACTAGATTTAAGTAAATACGTTTTTGAAATTTACCGTTAGTTTTGAAACAATTGAGACATATACTTTTACAGGTATCATTACCAAGTCTTGATTTGATAATTTTGAATAAATTGAGCATTGGGTAGATTGTTATAAATAAATAATATATTTGTAATATCCCAATGAGTAGAAAATCTAATTTTTCTACTCATTGGGATATTACAAATATATTATTTATTTATATACTTTTACAGTTTATTTGAACCGTAATTTATGTTTACAACAAGACTCTTCTTCCTACCGTTTCTACATTAACCAGTTTGCAAATCAAGGTCAACCAATATGTCTCAAATAGACTTATTGTTGCTTCAATCAACATCTTGACTAGATTTCATTTCCTTATTTATATTAAAATGACAAATTACACAGAGATGAAATCCAATTATCTAATTTTCTATTTTAATAGTATCATTCTCATCATGAGTTGTAGCTAAGAATATTGAATACAATCTCATATAGGGTCGTGGGTTGTACATTATCACGTAGTTTGAAACTATAAGGAAATAGATTGTAAGGGTCAGAACTTCCTGTTTGCTAATGTTAGGGACTGCAATTAATAAGTCACTTTAAGGATAAATGGATCCTGAGAGGATTACCTCAATAATAAGCCTATGCCACTAGAAAAAATAGTCCATTGCAATCTTAGTCCAACAGCAACGTCTAATCGCAAACATATACGAATAAAATTCATAACCGGTGCGTAAGCTAATGACTATATAAGCTAAATACCTTAATGGACAACGGGTTTGTATTTGAAGTAAAAATAATGTGTTCAATTTCCGTGAGAACAACACTGAGATGGAGATAAGTCCGGCTAATGAGTCCCAAATAGGACAAAGTGCACGTTGTGGACTTGATTATTAGACTATATTCAACTATAACAGAAGAAAAATAGTTCTCTGGTTCGTCAACTACTATCAGTTGATCACTAGTACCATAGAGCTTCCAAAAAAAAATATTAAAAGTCTCTATGTGAAGATACCTTTTATGTATTAGATAAATTTATATTGTAATTCTATTTTCGATAAGTTGAATATTGAACAATGATTTAGCATAAATATGATTTATGCTGAATTCTAGCTTTTCTTTTGACTTATTAACAAATATTTTATAGTAATTTCAATAGTCGAGATCATAAGTCAATTGAAGCTAGATGACCATGGAAAACTTGGAAGCACTGGATGGCCGTTTCGTTCTAGTGTGGGACTGTGATGAAGTTCAACCGGTTTTGTTGTGAGATAGTAACTCACTGAAGACAATGATGGATGTGTCGTTCAATTTCGTGGATCGGTTGAAGTTAGACATTAACACCGTTAGGTGCCAGCTCAGTGGTCTAGAGGTCAAGCGCGAGACTGATAGGTACTGGGTTCAAATCTTGCGAGGTGGGATCGTGGATGCGCACTTCTGAGGAGTCGCACAATAGAACGAAAAGACCATTTAGTGCTTTCAGATTTTCTATGGTGGTCTAGCTTTAATTGACTTATGATTTCAACTACTAAAATTACCATAACATCCACAAAAACTCTTTCTGATTCAATGAACAAAAATCAAATTCCACATAGTCAATGATTTATTTATCTTTTGAATTATAAAAAAGTGAAAGTAACAAACAATTCCCCATGAATAAACAAGATATAATTTTTTTTTCCAACATGATCTATTTTATACATCACAATAATTGAATTAAGAAAATACATTTGTAATACAAATATAGTATAATTAAGATATTGTATAATTGATTTATGAAATGAATCTTTAGTGAACAATGCTATTGGAATTTAAAACTAGCATGAACTAGGTGTAGAGTGTTTTCTGGGTTGTTGTTTTTTTTTCCTAAATGTTACTGTGGTTGATGTTAACATGTGATGATAAATATCCAATTCATAAATTTAAGTAATATATATATATATAAATATCTTGGAAACAGTATTATTGTCATTGATATTAACAAAATGTGTGAAGTTTCAATAACACATATATGTATATCTAGACTATCTATGTTCAATGGAAGATATTCAACTAGAACATACAGTAAACGATTAAATTAACTGTACAGTATGTATGTATATACGAGTTGTTTGTTTTTTTAAACAGGAGGTGGGGAATATGAGAAGAAAAGAAACATTTAAACAAAAGCTATTAAGTGATGCATTGAATATAATACACATCAAATGATAATAGTAGTATATAGAAAAATAATATAAAAACAAACAAACAAACAAAATGTATAGAGAACATATACTAAATGAGAGAAGAAGAAGAAGAAGAAAATAGAACATTATAATGATAATACATTATAATATAAAACATAAATGATGTAATATATATATATATATATATTTACAATTTATAAATCATTAATATAGGTAGATAAGTAGGTAAACAGATAGATAGATGGATGGATGGATAGATAGTGTACATTATTACAATCTAATAATAATTAATAAAATCAAATGTACTTAAATGTTATGACTCAGTTTTTTTTATTTATAAACTAGAATGCACTCTTTTAATAATTAAAAAAATTTTTTTAACGGAAATGCAAATAAAGAATAATTTAAACAGTAATAATCTATAATAATTGTAATATTGATCGTTGAATGCGCGATAATTAATTATACATATTTATGGATTTTATTTAATATTGGGAAAAATCAATAAATAACACACACACACACACAAAAGTATTTATTTACAAAGTGTATTTATTGATTTTTATTTTTTTAAATAATAATTTAAATTATTAAATTTAATTGCATATGATAGATGTAGTGATGGTGGTGGTGGTGGAAGTCCAGCAATATGTGAAGAAGATGGATTTAGAAATTAGTCTATTATGATTATTATATCAAACAATGACTAATGTGGTTGTGATCATGGTCAAATTTTACACATTCAATGATTTAATCGAATTATATAAAAAGATCTAATGTGATTAACATTGTGGATGAGTTTATCTCTATGTATATGTGAAATGTGTGTGTGGGGGGGGGAGGAGAGAGAAAATTGAGATAGATGCACTGTATACAGAAAACAAAAAATTTAAAGAAAAAAATCAGTGATATTTCTGTGTACAATTTCAATGGGAAATAGACAATAATTAGTAATAATAATAATAATAAAACTCTCAGTGAAAAAAACAAACAAATATGCACGCATAAATGTGAACATACACAAAAGAAATACACAGTGACAAAACAGAAATTGAACTGTTCAAAGATAAAACATTACAAACTACACAAAATAGAGAAGCAATTTTTTCAAAGAAAAAAAAATAGTCGAAAAAAAGGCACACATCAACAAGAGAGAGGTATTAGTAGGTCATATAAGAAAAAGACGACGACAAAGAAGCACAATAATAATGATAACAATAATAATAATAATCTTGCTTTGATTTATCACAATGAGTAAATATATGAAGGTTTCATAGATGAGTAGATTTAGGGAAGGGGTGAATATTTACAGTACAGTAATATCATCATTATCCCCGCCACCACCACTATTGTGATGGTTACCATCATTCTTATTGATTTGTTGTTTTGATAATTGTGATACAAGTGCTTGATGAATAAATGCATATTGTTTAGCAACTTGTACAGCTCCGGCACGTTGACATCTTAATTGATTAATCACATCTGGTACATCAAGATAACCTTCATTTAGTGCTTGTTGTAAACAAATATCTGTTGTAACAAATGTTCCTAAAGAGAAGAGAATGAGAACGTTTTTTTAAAAATTGAACAATTTCTGAAAAAGTACAAAAGATTATTGAAGAAGAAGAGACAACTAATAAGAGGTTAAGAAAACAGACAACTGACTACGGTTTTAGAAAACAAAAATATATAACGTAATGGATTTGAAAGTCACAACGATGTTTGATAAGAATTTGTGTACTATTGTAAAACGTTTTTGAAATAGCATAAAATAAAAGACGTTAGAGAGCGCCTCGAAATGCCCTGGTACGGTCGAGGGTGGGGAGAATATGCTCTCTCTCTAAAAACGCTCTCACATGGCCACGAGTATACAGCCACTGACAGAGAAGTCCTACTAACTTACGGCATTATTGTTGCTTACGAAATTGAGAGGATGGAAACCGAATATCCGGCACTTTAACCGGATTGTTCGATATGGAGGATTCACCTAGGAGAGTTGGAAAACCCTGATTCCAAATCAATGGTCACATGAGCTTCAGGATCCCGAGGAAACAAATGGCTTATGTGAAGGATAATATTTTTTGCTCAAGATAATTACTTCATTCCTATATAAACCTCAGCAAAAGTTTAATCGAGTTTTGAAAATTATGACTTTCAAAAGCAAACATTTACGGGAAATACATCACAGAGTATGATGAGGCGGCCTGCTTGAATACCTGGGCTACCTGTTTCTGCCATCTAAATATTTCAACAAGTTATCTGGTTTTTTTTAAATTTGTTTTAACCTATCATTATGTCTATTAATCGCATAACCTACACAGGCGCGTTTATAAAAAGCTTACGTCCTTTCGCTGCAAAAATTACAAACAAGCACAATAAGAGACATCGTGGTGGTTGGCAATATGCTTTAAAGAGAATAAACATCAATCAAATGTCGATTCCCGAGCTACTTAACTCTAACTGTCGATCACTAATTAACAAGGTGGACTATCTCCAATTTCTGCTAAGTCAAAACATGTATCGTAATTGTGGTGTCATCACAATTCAAGAATCTTGGTTAACTGACTTACAGGATGATTGCTTAGTGTCATTACGTGATTTTAATATCTATCGTCAGGATCGATCAAACAATAAAAAGACTTGTGGTGGCGGAGTAGCTACTTTTGTAAACGTTAACTGGTGTCGATCTACTTTTGCCTGTTTCAAGTTTTCAAACGACTTTATTGACTGTCTAACTTTAAGGTGCCGTCCAAAACACCTGAATAAATACAAATATATTTATGTTACCAATATCTACATGACTCCAGATTGCACATCATCTGCGCTATCTGTCTTCACTGATAAATTTACTGAATTCGCCGTTACTGCCTTCAGTGATTCACTTTCAATTGTATGTGGTGATTTCAATTCATGTGACTGTAGCTTCCTTATATCACTAGGTCATCTAAATGTAGTAGATTTTCCTACTCGTTTGAATGCTCATCTAGACTTGGTTTTAATTAATGATGTGGGTGCCTATGTGACTCGCAAACGTGCTCCATTGTCTAGTTCGGATCACTGTATAATTCGTGTCTTGCCTAAAGTATATGGTAAACATGGAAAGAGCACACACATACTCCATACCAAAAAAGTAATATATAGGAGTTACTCAGAAGAAAATTTACAAAATCTGAAAAACATGTTTCGTACGACCAACTGGGAAGTACTTACAGATGACTCAATAGAAAACACAACGGATGTTATTACCTCTTATCTTAAATTCTGTTTTGATATTTGCTGTCCTACCGAAACCTTCTTTTTAAGTTTTGATCGACTTACTGTTAGGATATTCACAAGAATATCCCAAAAATTATCTCGAATGTAAATGGTATGTTTCCAGACTCTTCACATAATTCGCATGTTATTTCCTATTGGCCATTATTTACAGTGTCCTAACTATGACTTTCATGTGTCGTTTCCCTATTGGTCAATTTTGAGTCGTCCTAATTATAACCTTTACGTGTCCTTCTTTTCCATTGGTTACTGTTAATAGTCATCGTAACTGTATAAATATGCCTTATCTGTAAACCATTGTTGTTCTGCTGCTGACCCCATAAACAATTCTCATTTAACGGCTGTGTTCTGATTTATTGGAGTTGGGAAACAGTACTGGGGTCGAACTAGGATATCTGAATTTGGTCAATCGGTAGAATTTCGCGTAGTCCTATCGCAATACGCTATATTTCGCATTATAACAATTGGCGACGGGGACAAAAGTGAAAAATGACGCTCCCTTCTGACCGCTTACAGTTGCTATTTGACCGACATTTGGAGTTCATGGTCAAACTACGCTCACAGTTTCTGGATCATCAATGCTTCGCATATGCGTCGGAAGTGGATGTATTAATCTCTGAATTGCACACAGAGCTGGCAAATGATCACAGCCTCCATGAATCCTCGACCAGCCGCAACTCAAACGAAACAGCAGACTCTCAAGAGACGCCCGGTTGTCCAGCACTATCCGTTTCAGAAACATACCCGGTAGTGGATTCAAACCCCGCTATCCCTGAATTAGCAGGTCCTAACAATGCCGCTTTCAGCTCTCATCAATACGATGCTATGTTAAAAGCCCATGAAATGGTCGCACCAATCGCCCACAGAGTACCGGTTCACAAGAAGCCCCCTTCTCCATGTTGGCACTGTGGAGCCTGGCATTATGTGAAAGTTTGTCCATTCAAACAGCAGGTGTGCGATCGCTGTCATAAAGTTGGTCACAAAAGCGGTTTTTGTCAATCTCATCGACCCAATAGGCGTCGAAATGCACAGACGCAACGTCGTTATACTAAAAAGCAGCTTCCCTCATCAAGGAGTTTAGCAGCAGTCTTTCACACTCATGCCGCCACGCGGCGCAAATTTCTAACCCTCTCAATCAATGGTCAACCAGTTCGATTGCAGTTGGACACTGCATCAGATATCACTATCCTGTCGAAAGATACTTGGCGAACCTTGGGTCAACCTCCCATCAAACCGTCTTCGCAGACAGCCGTTAGTGCATGTGGTGGTCATCTCCGACTTCATGGTGAACTTAACTGCTGTATTTCGTTCAGAGGTACAACCTTCAATGGTACGTGCTACATCACCAAATCCCCTCTCAATCTTCTGGGTTTAGATTGGTTCGAAGAACTTGGTCTTGCCAATCTACCTATCAGCACTATCTGTAATCAAGTAAAAACTCTTGCTACTACACAACAGCATGCTGCAGACCTCCAAAAACGATTCATTGAACTCTTTCAGCCTGGTCTTGGTCTTTGTTCCACAACTGAAGCTGTTTTGAAACTTCAGCCAGAAGCTACGCCAGTTTTCCGTCCAAAACGTCCAGTCCCATATGCATCCCTACCTCTGGTCGACGCTGAACTGCAACGTTTGGAAACTGAAGGTGTCCTTGTACCTGTTTCTTATTCTTCATGGGCTGCACCAATTGTGGTTGTCAAAAAGTCTAATGGTTCCATACGCATCTGTGCAGACTTCTCTACAGGACTCAACGCGGCGCTGCAACAGCATCATTATCCGCTGCCGATCCCAGATGATTTGTTTACTATTTTAAATGGTGGTACCTACTTCGCTAAGCTAGATCTCGCGGATGCTTACCTTCAAATTCCTGTCGCTCGCGAATCGAGAGAATTGCTGACAATCAACACTCACCGAGGTCTTTTCCAGTATACCCGATTACCCTTTGGTATCAAGACTGCTCCAGCGATATTCCAGCAGATTATGGATACTATTCTGGCAGATGTTCCTGGTGTTGCTACGTATCTTGACGACGTCCTCATTGTCGGCTCAACTGCTGATGAACTGCATTCCAGAACATATTTAGTCCTACAACGCCTCCAAGATAATGGTTTTCGCCTTCGTTCAGAGAAATGCCAATTCTTTCTACGCTCCGTTAAATACCTGGGGTTTATCTTTGATGCTTCTGGACGACATCCTGATCCTCAAAATACTCACGCAATCCAGCAAATGCCTGCTCCCACTGATGTCTCTTCACTGCGATCATTTTTGGGAATGGTTAGCTACTATTCAGCATTTCTACCATCACTACATGAGGTACGATATCCATTAAATCATCTGCTAGAAAAGAATGCTACTTGGAATTGGTCCACGCAATGTGAATCAGCTTTTTCAAAACTTAAAGCCATGTTAAGCTCCAAACTACTGTTAACCCACTACAATCCGAAACTACCAATTGTAGTTGCTGCTGACGCTTCAACCCATGGACTGGGTGCCGTACTACTGCATGTTTTTCCCGATGGTTCAGAGAAAGCAGTGATGCATGCTTCGAGAACACTAACAGCCGCTGAAAAACGTTATGGTCAGATCGAGAAAGAAGCCTTAGCTCTGATTTTTGCTGTCCGGCGATTCCACAAATTCATTTACGGGCGCCGTTTCACTTTGCTCACAGACCATAAGCCGCTGTTGTCAATTTTTGGATCAAAGAAAGGCATTCCTGTTCATTCTGCTAATCGTCTTCAACGTTGGGCGTTGGCGTTACTGAGCTACGACTTCGACATCCAGTATCGACGTTCTGAAGATTTTGGTCAAGCGGATGCATTGTCCAGACTTATCAGCAAGCACTCTACAACTGATGAGGATACACTCATAGCCACAATAGCAACGGAAGATGATTCTGGTGCAACACTATTGGCGAATGCCGTGCGAGCTATGCCTGTTACGGCTGAAAACGTTCGAGAAGCTACCAGAAACGACCCGATTATTCGGGAAGCAATCACTTATGTTCAGAGCCGATGGCCAGTTAAGCAGTTCAGTGGTGAGATGCTACACCTAGCGAATCGTCGCAGCGCTCTTTGTGTTGTCAATGACTGTCTGATGTTTGGTGACCGTGTAGTAATTCCAACAACCCTGCGTGCCAAGGTCCTACGCCAATTTCACGCTGGTCATCCAGGGATAAACCGTATGAAATCTATCGCTCGTAGTTACGCATACTGGCCGAACATGGACAAGCAAATTGTCGATTTCGTCAAAACATGTCCACATTGTCAGACAGCTGCGAAACATCCTCCTAAGTTGCCACCAGTACCCTGGCCCATGTCAGAAAAACCCTGGTCGCGAGTGCACATTGATTTTGCCGGACCCCTAGATGGTACCATATATCTGATACTGGTCGACTCCTTCTCCAAATGGCCGGAGATATTGCCGATTGCACCACCCTCTACAACTCGAACCATCCAACTCCTTAACCAGATCTTCGCTCTGCATGGTCTGCCAGAAACAATAGTAACAGACAATGGTTCGCAGTTCACATCCAGTCAGTTTCGAGAATTTTGCTTGCAAAACTCGATCAATCATGTCCGTTCTCCGCCCTACCATCCGCAATCTAATGGACAAGCTGAACGCTTCGTCGATACATTCAAACGTGCCATGCTTAAGGCAAGAGGGGAGGGAACAACACACGATATTATAGAACGATTTCTAATTGTGTACCGGACGACTCCTCATGATTTATTGCCGAACTTCAAATCCCCTTCGGAGGTACTTATGGGACGGAAGCTACGAACAATTCATAATGCAATGACACCCAGGCGAGTAGCCCAGCAGAGTCCTCACATGAAGAATACCCGAATTCTTTACGAAGTTGGCGCAAAAGTGTATGTGCGGGACTATAGACATGGGTATGATAAATGGATAGAGGGTGAAGTCGCAAAGAGACAGGGGAAGGTCATGTATGAGGTCAGAGTAAACAGAGAAATCTGGACCAGGCACCATAATCAACTAAGGCCAAGAGAAGCCAAGAAAAAAATTGAAGTTACGAAACGCGTCCCACTCGATTTATTACTGGATACTTTCCAACTTCCGCCAATACCTACAACGGAGGCAACTCAGTCATCTAATCAGGCAGAACATTCTTCCGGTTCTCGGTCGTTACCTCCAAGGAGGTCGGGACGCAAACGCAGAAAACCAAAAAACTTTCAAGTAAACCCACGATTGCGTCGCTATTAATTTTTTCCAAGGGGAGGTGTTAGGATATTCACAAGAATATCCCAAAAATTATCTCGAATGTAAAATGGTATGTTTCCAGACTCTTCACATAATTCGCATGTTATTTCCTATTGGCCATTATTTACAGTGTCCTAACTATGACTTTCATGTGTCGTTTCCCTATTGGTCAATTTTGAGTCGTCCTAATTATAACCTTTACGTGTCCTTCTTTTCCATTGGTTACTGTTAATAGTCATCGTAACTGTATAAATATGCCTTATCTGTAAACCATTGTTGTTCTGCTGCTGACCCCATAAACAATTCTCATTTAACGGCTGTGTTCTGATTTATTGGAGTTGGGAAACAGTACTGGGGTCGAACTAGGATATCTGAATTTGGTCAATCGGTAGAATTTCGCGTAGTCCTATCGCAATACGCTATATTTCGCATTATAACACTTACATCTCCACAACTAAAACGACTACGGAGGGTAAAAGAAAGGATGTACAAGGAGAAAAACACTATTGAAGTTCGTAAGTTAAATGATCAAATAAACCAAGAGATTAGACGTCTCAACTGTGTGTTCACTCAAAAACTCCTATCTTGTAGAAGCTCTCCAAGTATGTGGAAACTCTTTAAAGAAATTACAGGGGACAGGCAGACTAGAAGCGAAAACCAGCTGAATGTTTGTGACTTAAATAAGTCCTTTATTCATCAGTCATCTGACATCATGCTCCCTATATCCAAGGGTTTGAAGAATAGTTGTGTCCCCAGTTTTACTGAAAATGATGTCCGGAAATGTCTCCAGTCTCTGAATTCATCTCAATGTTTAGGACCTGATGGTATCCCAAACCTCCTTTTTAAAAAATGTGCTGATGTTTTATGTTATCCATTAACAAATATCTTTAACAGATCCTTCTCAACTAATGTCTTACCGAAAATGTGGAGAAAGATAAAGATAATCCCTATACCTAAGAAAGCTTCTGGTGATAAAAATGCGAAACTTAGACCCATTGCAATAACCTCACCTTTCCTCAAAATAATGGAAAAATTACTGATACAACCACTTCAACCTTCAATAAAAGAGTACTGTGATCCATTTCAGTTTGCTTACAAATGCAAAAGAAGCACATTAGATGCCGTTGCTGTTCTGCATCACAATATAGTGTTCGGGTTGGAAAAGGGTAAGAAGTATGTTAGATGCGCTTTTCTGGACTTTACTTCTGCTTTTGATTCTATTCCAAGACATCTCTTACTTAACAAGCTGATTCGCATCGACACTGACAGCTGGATAACCAATTGGCTACGCTCCTACCTTTCTGGAAGAGAACAGTACACTGTATTTGAAAGAAAGTGTTCAACATCTCTACTGTCTACTGTAGGTGTGCCACAAGGAGCTGTTCTTTCACCTCTGCTCTTCTCTTTCTTTTTGCATGATCTGCCATCTTCCACAGAAAACACTTTTGTAAAATATGCGGACGACCTCACTGTATGTATGCCAATTTCTACCTCCTTACATCCTATAGAAATGAATGAGTTTTTATCTCGTATTGAAAGGTGGTCTGTTGGTAATGGTCTCTTACTCAATCCATCTAAATGTGAAGCTGTTAATTTTAGCTTGAGACATGGACAGAACCTATACTCTATGTTGGGATCCGATAATGCTTGTGCCATTGGAGACTCCTTAATAAACACAGTGTCGAGGGTCAAATATCTTGGTGTTACTTTTTCCTCTGATCTTTCTTGGTCTTCTCATGTTTTACTATTATCGAAAAAAGTTTACCGCTTGACATACTACATAAAGAGGCTGCATGCTTTTGGGATTACTCGCCATTTACTCTTACAATTTGTAAATTCCTGCATATTACCTATTATTTTATATTGTTCTCCATTATTCTTTCCTGGGCTTTTGAGAAAAGACTTTGCTATTTTGCGTAGAATGCTGAAGGCGGTTTGCAAGGTATGTGGTGAATCTTTTGAAGTCATTGTTAATATGCTTGTGGATAGACATTTCAAGGCTTGCAAACTCTTGGCAGGTGTTATCTTATCAGATACTAACCATCCGCTTCATTCACATCTTTCTCCTTGTATATCTTCTGGTAGAACGAGACGTAAATACATTAAAATCCATGCACGCAAGCAAATCTATAAAAGTTCTGTAATACCTTACTTAGCAAATTTACTTTGTGACGAACAGGCTGTTAGAGTTGACCTAGTAAATAACCTGTCTTCTTAAGCATGTCTCAAATTCGAAAATTTGTATAAAGTCGGTTTTTCCTAGACCTTTTTTTTTTTTTAAATTTTATTTCTGTTTTTTTTTTGTTTGTTTTTTCGGGTTTCCTTTTTTGGTAAAAAACTTGTTGAAATAACTCGTGCTGAGAATTCTATATTGTACCAGATTATAATATTGAATAAAGCCATTAATAATAATAATAATAATAATATATGTACGAGGAGAAAGTAAGCCTGTCACATATAGTCCCAATGAAGAAGCTGGAAGATACAAGCGATTATATTCCGGTAGAACCAAGATGTTTACAATTGACTGAGTAGTAGCTAGTGTTGTGTTGGTCGAAAATTTTAGTGCTGATTAGACTCTATCTGTCAAGTAGTAGTAATGTGGCTACTATAAGTGACTCAGTTCACGGTATCTTATCAACTGCTTACAATCATTTAACACCTCGAAATAGTGGACGAGATGGTACGCCACTTAGACTAGAGACCACAATCCGGATTGATCGATAGAATTTGATAAATAATAGTTTACTAGACAAAAATGAGACTGGCCATTATTCAGTCAATTGTAAATACCTCATTGTATAAGAGGTCATACAGTGCCTGGTCCTACGTTGTAGCTGACTAACAAGAGGTCAGTGGCAGCCCGACTAGCTCAATGGTATCGCATTGTTCCACTTGTGGAATAACTAAGAAACTCACTTCTACATGAATTAGGGATTGAAGATATTGTCAAGAATGTTAATGAAAATTATGTAATTGAGCCATCTAGCTCAGAGAGCTTGATAACAGTAAAACCATCCAACTAAGCTGTGAATCTTCCTCAAGACAAATAGACAACTGCAATAATTCTGGTTTTATGAGGGACGTATACAGAAACAAACAAAAGTATTGATAACTGGAGGTACAACTCATTTGATTTTACCTAAATGTAGTATTTGTACTCATATCATTTGACGGAAAATGTTTGAGTTTAATCATGTGGGTGTGTGTATTTTGAATGATTTTGGGTTTAGAACTAGAATAAAGCAATCAGTGACAAAAACTGTCGTTTACTGCTTTTGTCAATAACTGATTTTAAGTGTAGAACCTTTGAAAATCAAGGATAATTGTTTACATTATGAAACGCGTTATTAGTGTGCATTCACAAACCTTCCAGAAATCAAACTCAATAGCTTTATATAATATTCTCACAAACATACCAAAACTAATCAGTAAATTCCATAAAATAACTGTTAAATTGATGATAAAAGATTAACAAGAAATAACATATCATCACCTTCAAACAAAACACAATGACAAGTATACATACACCTACCTGTACGACCAATACCAGCGCTACAATGTACCAGTAATGGGGACAGAGAATCGGATTGTGAAGTTGTTTTGTGATTTGACGATCCTGATGACGTTGTTGTTGGTGGTACTGACGACGACGATGACGAAGATGACAGTGATGATGAGAATAATAATTTTGATCTTGATTTATGACTTTGTTTAACAGTTAGTAGAAATTTCAAAAATTCTTCGGAATCCGCTGGAACATCGAAATCCGGCCAACCCAAATATAAATAATGATACACTGTTAACTTATTATCTGACAAAGTATTATTATCATTGGATTCCTGAAATGGAGGAAATGAATGATTATAATAAACATTGAGAAGACTTAGAGTGCAAAAAACATCTGTTTTGTAGAATCTACAAAAACCACTGTCATTCACCTGTTAACGAAAGTCAACAATGTAAACGACTTGTGAGAAATTATATATCTGTCCAATTTATCACATTCAAACAATTAGACAGATTGAAGTTGTTCAGTTCAATAATACCCGGTTTTATAATCCATACATAAGCTACGCACAAATTTGTACTATGTATTCGTAGCATTTAAGATATGGCTGAATAATCACCGTGCCATTGCTCAAATAAGAAACGGACAATTTAACTGTCGTTTGAAGCAGCTCGAGGATCACGTTCTACGTATATTCTAAATAACGTAATATTTGTTTCCTCCTGACCATATTTTTGAGAAGTGAGATTAAAGACCCATACATTTCACTCTATTCAGGATTTATCAGCAAGATGTACACCTGAAATATCAGTGTTGATGAGTTTGTGAGGTTGTCTGTCAGTTTTCGAATCTTCTATACGTGTACACTATCCAACATTTTCGGACATTTTCTGTTTATTTAGTGGGTGAGTGTTGCATATAAGGATGTAATTTTCGTTGAAGATTTCTTCCCAAGCATCGCAAATTAACTACATCCGTATACTATGAATAGATTAGTGTAGCGTTTCCCAGCATGCTGGATGGAAAACACCAATACAGTGAAACTTAGAGCTTAAAAGGAAATCCTCTGTGAAAAGTACATTCATATATCCAGCAATCACACATTAAATGAACGAGAAAATACTCGAAGATGCTGGATACCACACACTTATTAAACATTGGGAAACTGATAGATAAACACCTTGTACTGTTGATATCTACACTGAAAGTTGAACACGGAACCTAGCTTTTTTTTCAAACAATCCGACACATTGTCCATCAATATATCAAGTCACAACTTGTTTGAATATTTTAAAATTACAATTAGCACAAATTATAGATACAATTTGACATTATTTAAGTTAGTAGTTTAGTTTAAAATCAAATTAGTTATGTATATGTGTGTATAGGTGAAACGTTCAATGCATAGTGAAGTACATTAGAATATACTGAACAATATAGTTTATAATATGATATAATGATTCGCTTAGGTCTTGGCTACCATTATATCTCCCAAAACCATACAAAAACAAAAAAACACACACACAAATACAAATGTATAATATACAAACGTATTTGATTTTCATTAGGACACTAGGTATATATATGTGATAACAATAAGGCAGTGGTGAACTTCATGTTTCGAAATAAATATTATAATAATGACTTTTAATATTATTATCAGTTTAAATACAGGTCGAGCAAAACCAATCATCTTAAATTAAATATATATACAATAAAATTTACGATTACAATTAATAATTTAAACTGGAAACATCAGTAGGGATTCGTAATTTCCCGCTGATTGACGTTCGAAACGATGAAATGGCACATGTTGGATTTCACTGATTATATATCAAGAGAAAAATAGTTTAATTGTATAGAAATTATGAACTGACCTAAGTTCGACCACCATTGAAAACTTGAGAGCACTGGACGGCTGTTCCGTCTAAGTATGGGACTCCTTAGTATTGCGCATCTACGATTACACACGCACTGATCGGAACCAGGACCTTCGGTCTCGCACGCAAACACTGAACTTCCAGACCACTAAGCTGAAATCCAATGGTGTTAGTGTCCAACTTCGATCAATCTACGATATTGTATTAAGTGGGTGAGTGTTTCATATCCTACATGGATTGGTTCCGTTGATTAAGCAGTGTCGTGAATTAAATGAAGTTAGACGTTTAATTCATGAGTCGATCTAAGCTAGACCACCATTGAAAACTTGGGAGCATTGGATGGTGGTTTCGTCCTAATATGGGACTATTCAGCAGTGCGCATTCACAATCCAACACGTTGGACTTGAACACAGAACTTTCGATCGAACTCTTAATCTCTTAATTAAGAATTGAGTTTATATGATTATCGGGTCTACTGCATCATAAGAATTGAAAGTATGAAGAAGTGTGATATCATTTAATTTATTTGGTGCTATTCTGGTTTGTTCAGACGTTGTGATGAAAGCAGAAGTTTTACTCATTCATTAGTCATAACAAGTATGCAGAAATACAATACGGTGATAGAGAAAAGAAGTAGTAATAGTAATAATATACTGAAAGTATATATGGGAACACAACAATTATTTAATTTAGTTAAACAATTCCCATACATAGTTAGCAGAGATGGATAGTGGCCAGCAGTGGAATCCAGGACGTGCGTTTCGTCCTATTTGGGACTCGTCAGCTGGATGTACCTGCATCTCAAAGTTGATGTTCACTCTGGGACTCGAACCCAGTACCCTCGCTTCAAACGCCATCGCGTTATCCACTCGGCCACTGAGTCCTGATAGCCATTTGCTTGTGCGATGGGGTGAAGTTTAAATTCAACTTAGTATTGTTTGTTTAAATCTTCCCATCGATTTGGTCAGTCTCTAATTGGCATATGTGCATACTGTGCGTATTGCCTCGATACACCTTAATTCACAAGCATGGTTAGCAGAGATGGATAGTGGCGTCCTGGATTCCACTGCTGGCCACTATCCATCTCTGCTAACTATGCTTGTGAATTAAGGTGTATCGAGGCAATACGCACAGTATGCACATATGCCAATTAAAGACTGACCAGTTGCAGTCCTAACAAATCGATGGGAAGATTCAAACAAACAATACTAAGTTGAATTTAAATTCCCATACATATTTTCTTTTGAAACTACATATTGGATATTGATTTTAATTAGATGAAGAGGGAAGTTTGATAATTTATACGATCTTAGATAAGTGATGGAAATACTAGTAGTAATATTAGTGCTTCAATTTCGATTAATTAGCTTATTTTTTCTGTAAATTTCGTAATGTCTATTTGATCAAAAAATAAGAACGATTATTGTATGACATGAATTATACGGGACTACCTTGAGAGAAAGAGGAAAAGATATTTGAATTGGAATTTAGACTGTTATTGTTGTTATTGTATCTAATAGCATGATGAGCTATTAACATTTGGAATGAATTGTTTATTCTTTTCGTCTTATATTCATTTCATTTTAAAAATCACTTAATCTAATTACTCGATTGTTGATATTTTACGCGAAGATTATTTCATCAACAAAGGATCATAGATAATCTAGTTCTCTTTATTGAAGATGCTGATTAAATGTAAGGCCTTTCAAATGCGCATTGAGGAGGTCAAGATGAACAAACATGTGAAATGTACTTTATTTATGTAACCCTCAAGTGTAAAATATTTCTTCGGAACTAATTGTTGCTGATAAGTTGACAGTGAAACATGAACTATTTAAGCAGGTCGACTAATATTCCATATTTTAATATTCTTATCATCCTTGGTAACTTGATGTCAAAAAGCCAGTTTAACCAATGCCATTTTCTATACCATTTAAAATGGAGGTAACATATTCATTTATTTATCAATAAGCAGCTCTGTTGAGCAGAGATTCGCTTTTTTATTATTTAACGGCTATAAAACAAGATCGGTAAAACACATTTTTAATATTTGGTCAAAAGTGTTTTTAAAACATTGTTAACATACGATAGAAACCATCAAGTGAGCAGGATTTGTGTGTTAAACATAGAGTTTTTCGTAAAAGTTAAGAACTAATTGATGACGAAGATAATTTAGTTTATCTGCTATACATGTCCAGGACACTATCTATGATGTGGGAAAATATAGGATTGGAAAAAAGTAGTAGTATTTTATTGAGATCTTTTACCGATTTAAATAAGGGAACTATAGAAAACCTAGAAGTACAGGGACAGCTGTTTTATCCTAGTTTAGGACTCCAATCAAAAACAATTAGTAAAGCCCTGTACTAATAAAACTAGGAGTAATTTAAGTAATGAGGTTATTGACTGTTAGTTTAAATCATTTAAGGGTTCACGAAAGTTGTTTTGGAAATTCACAAGATTATTGTAATCAATAGAAAGCGTCGACCTGTTATTATTCCTTTGGTAAAGCTAATCTAACTGCAGGTGTAGAACATTAAAGTACAAAATTATTTAACTCAAATTACATCATGATATATCTGCTAGCGAGCTTTTCTAAGTATATTAAATGGAACGTCAGTTAGTTATCAGTCATGATCAACGCAGGCAGTGGCAAAATTTACATCGGCTCAGGTTACTAAATCATATGAGTTCGATACGATCAAATTAATAATATAAACAGAGGAGTAGTAATGATAATAAAGAAGAGTAAACAATCAGAATATGATTTCAGAAGACAAAATGATAAGGAATACTGAAATTCAAGATTGGGAGCAAGGTGATGACTGAATGTATCAGAGCTACTGTGAACATTTTAAAGCCATGCTACACAAGTCACAGACCATTAATTACAGTTATCTTATCAGGTAGTATGTATCCACCAGTATCTACCAATGAATTCATAGAGTGATGTCATGTCTTGGTTTGGCCCCACCTAGCATTCTCACAATCTACTCACTTCTAAACCAGCGGACATCTCGCGTTGAGGTAGGCGGCGGTTAGGCATACGTAAAATAAGTCTTAATCACTTCATTCAACGGGGAATCACACTTTCGTCAACAGATTTGTCAAATTTCACTAGCACCCAATACTTAATATCAGCATTGCTCATTTGATTGTTCCACAAAATGTGAATAATACCTCAAAGACACGTATGACAGGCTGTTTATTGTTAAAACAAACTCACAACACAGATTATTTAATGCACTAACTACCTGTATGACAGTTGATTCTTCTAGAAACACCCATTAAAAATCATATATCTATTGGAAATCACAATCTCAAACATATCTAAAGTGAACGGAAGATATTGTTCAAATTTAGGCACTAAACAGAACTTTATTTGTAATTTGTAATCCATACTAGTTGATACCAAATAGCGATCCGTATTCTATCCAAAAAGCTTCGTTAGCCACAGCCTCCGATGTGAACTCCAAGCTATTCGTTTAGCAACACTACTACAAAGCGGACAGTAAATGTGTAAAGGTGAAAAATAACTGCAAAATTCTATTAAAATGATGAATTTATAATCTACATAAGTAAATGACAAAACTCAACAAGCCTTATGTTATATTTACCTTGAGAGAATTCTGAACATTCATTTTAGATTTTTGTCGATTGCGTTCTAATCTACTAACACCAATATGAGTAGTAAATTTATGGACATCATTTACTGAAGATTTGCATGTCACTTCTAAAACACTTCGTTTGTATAAACCACCAGCTTCAATAGATTCACCACAATTAGTCACTTGAAATTCTCCATAACTAGCACTGATTGTTGGGGTGATTTTTGTATCCACTGGATGAATACTACTACGCGGAATAGATTGGTCTTTTGACAAGGAGGAAGAACAATTTCTTGTTGGCCAATACAATGCACATTTAGGACGTTGACCTTCGACAATTCTAAATAATAATTTTTATAACCAGAGTAAATTATTAATAAGGTGAGTTTTTTTATTCAGAACGGATAAACAAAATCTATGTGTGATGGAACACGATACAATATACAGATAATAATGGAGAGAAAAAGGATTTTTGCATCTCTCAAGCGGGTTAATTTAAAATCTTGCATAACCTATTGTTGGTCATGATATTAAATAATTCATAAAAAAAGCTTGAGCTTTGAAATTCCTAAGGACTCCTCGATAAAGTTATCAGAAGCCAGGAAAATACAGAGAGAGTTTCGTCTAACCATCATTTAATGGAAAAGTTTTCGGAAACTTCCAGAAAAGCGATGCATAGCACTCTGCACGGTGACTACCTATTCTGTTTCTACATTTAAAGTGTTCCCAGAGGTTTCTAGAACGTCAAAGTGACCCACTACTATAAATATCCTTATTCATGAAAATAAGCTGACTTTGAAGTAAAGCTTCATTTTCTTACTTTGAACCCTTCTTACTAACATTTAGGGCTGAAATGCATAATTATGGTGATCGCGGGAGTGTCTATGATGTTACTTTCAAGTGTTTTAACATAAAATGTATCAAGAAGACATTTTACACGATTGATGTATTTTATATCTTGTTTATTCATACACGAAATGAGATGCGATTCGCATGAAATTGATACATAGCAAAACGCAATGCAAATGTTTTTTATAAAATCATCTTAAATGCTCATCATGTGTGGAGCAACGGTTCATTTTTTTAAGGCGCTTGATTTTCAGCCATTAGGTCATAGATTCAAATTTAAGTTTTAGGAATTACTAGTACTTACATTGAGCGTGTGACTCGAAAACCTGTTCATGAATCTATACCTGGTAAGCGAGTTGAGATTAGTTTATTCATTATAAGATGGTAACACTATATTATAGGAAAGAACAAATAAGAGTTGAGATAGTGACTTCGGGGTCATAGCGCACATTTGAACCGAAAACGTGTACTAACGAATGCTTGACTGGGAATTTTAATGACGGTTGTATAACTCAGTGACGAATGATTACTGAGGACTTATACTGTTTGTGGTTGTGATAGCCAAATGACTGTAAGACCATATGCAGATTATCGAGATGGCATAGCTCTGCGATGCAATGCATGCTGAAGAGAGAAATTAGCACGAATGGGAACATTCTTCACTTATTCTAGTCTAACATTGAGGAAGATAATGTTGACTACCACTAATTGAGAAATGATAGCAATAAGTACGGTTATAGCCACTTTAGCTGACATAATAAACGCTTCGATATAACCACAGCATCAGTATTTCCGAGACATACGTCAGCACAAATCTCTGACTTTAGACTTATCATTTGAAATCATGAACCAATCAGTGTTAGGCCACTTTGAGACCTCGAAGCGCTGGACGGCCGTTTCGTCCTCGTATGGGACTATTAGACAGTGCGCATCCACGACCCCGTACGGGGGAACCGAACCCAGGACCTTCGGTTTCACGTTTTCAGGTTTTCCATGGTAGTCAAACATTGATCGGCCCACGTTTTCAATGAAACTCAAAAATCTCCACAACCCTATACTGACGATTCTTATCTATCACTTGGAGGTATGGGAAAGATGGCAGAAATAGATGAAGCGAAAATATAGTAGAGGAAGGAGTTTTAAAATTCTTTTGGGTATGTAGGAGTACCTTGAACCTGCTACGCAGGTTTCGACATTTAGGACAGAAGTCTTCAAAAAAGAAACTTTCAACACGTTAGGAAATGACAGCTTTCAACCTTGATACCTATTGAACGGGAAGATTCACTTGTTAACTTAGAATATGCCGATGACAGTTCTATTTGGTGAAGACGCCGACAAGATGAAGAGTCTTCTGACCACTATAAGCAACAATGCAGGCATGTTCGGGATGCGATTCTCTCCCTCGAAGTGTGAAATGTTACTTCAGGATTGGGTTGCATCGACACCCGAACTAATGATAGGAAGTGAAGTAGTTGAGTGTGTTGACCGCTTCACTTATCTTGGGAGTCTCATCAGCCCTTGTGGTCTGGAGTATGACGAAATATCAGCATGGATACAGAAGGCTTGTCTAGCTTCAACTAACTTTCGCAATTTATGGTGTAGGCGAGATATCCGTCTAGCAACCAAAAAACGGGTTTACTGTGCAGAAGCTCGTTCCTTCCTACTTTATGGCAGTGAAACATGGCCGATAAGAGTATAGGATATTCGTAGGCTACTAGTATTCGATCATCGGTATCTTCGAAGCATTGCTCGTATATCCTGGGGTCACCGAGTAATTAATGCAGTTGTTAGGAAACGGGTACTAGGTAAGAATGGCAAATCGATTGATGAAGTAGTGAAAATTCATCAGTTGAGATGGCTGGGACACGTGTTATGTATGCCCAAACACCGGCTGCCCAGACGTGCGATGTTTTATGGTGCAGGAGTAGGTTGCAAGAAAGCTAGGGTCGGCCAGACCAAAACGATAGCACAAATCCATGAAGTCACTGACAATTGGACCTCGCCATGTTGGTAGGTGTAGACTACCTGGTTGGGATTCGCGAGATGATAGCAATCGATGGTTAGAGACCTTGAATGACATGGCTCAAAATCGTTTGCAATGACAAAAGTGCATCTACTCTTTGTGTTCTACCGAATTCTAATCTTTTGAATTCTTCATGTCTCTATCCTTTTTCTCTTTCCAGATTTATTTCACTGGATTATACTCCTTGGATAACATCTTCAAACCCTAATCTTTCGGTTTACTGCTTATACTCTTACTACTTCTACCACTATGGGATTTGAATCAACAGCTTCATCTCTGTGTTAATGTGGTATGGCAACTACAACTGATGTACGTACGTACGAAGCTCTACGTTGTGACTGACTGACTGATGTCCTGCCAGGGATGATAACTTATACTGATGAGTGGATAGCTAATAAGTGTTTATGGGCATTTGGTTACACGCATCACGTTGTGATAGGCAAATGAAAGTTTGTAGACTATACAACAAGAGATGTAGTGGCGACATCATCATAACTCCAGAGGTCAAATGCTGTAGAATCATATGAATGGATTCTTCTATTGCAAGCGTTTTTAAAATATCTGAACTTTTTATAAATTTTCTTTAGTTCTTAAACAATGTAAAATATGCATGTAAATCATGCATTTTTTCGTTTACTGGGAAAATTTATCTATTGGTATCACCTCTAATTCCACACGGTAATACAAGTGATTGAAATGTTAGAATCGCTCACGGTCGTTCAAAAGACATGGTATCTCCGCCTAAGTCGTATACCAAAAGAATGATTGAAACTAAAAATAAATAATTAAATAATTAATAGACATACTAACTTGGTAAGCATTATAATGGTGATGACTTTATGCTCCCAAACAGTCATCCAAAATTCACGTATTGTATTCTCTAGTGGACCTTGATTGAAAATGAGACAAGAACAGTGACAATGATGAAATATTTGTGGATTGACATACGCTAAAATTGTGCTATTTATATAGACGATAGAAACAAGGGGACGAACTAACAGAGAGAGGAATTAAAAAAGGGGGGTTTGTGGAGAATTTAGTATTTTCATAGTTGAAATCATGAGTCAATTGAAGCTAGACCACCATGGAAAACCTGGAAGCACTGCACGGCCGTTTCGTTGAAGTTAGACATTAACACCGTTGGATGCCGGCTCAGTGGTCTATCGGTTAAGTGCTCTGGCGCGAGACTGGTAGGTCCTGGGTTCGAATCTTGCGAAAGCGCACTGCTGAGGAGTTCCATATAAAGACGAAACGGCCGTCCAGTGCTTCCAGGTTTTTCATGGTGGTCTAGCTTCAATTGACTCATGATCCCAACTATGGGAATTAAAAAAAAACAGAATAGTGGTTCCATACAGCAAGGAGATTTGTTTGAATTCTTCTGAAAAAATATTGCACTAGTGAGATTACCTCGAATAGAAACCAGCGGATGCCGGCACATTGGTCTAATGTAGAAGCGTTAGCAGTGAGCTGACAATTCTGGGTTCAAACCTCGGTGGGGTTGTGGATATGTACTGTAACTATGACAAAATCGTGGTTTAGTGACTCTCGATTTTTAGTGGTTGTCTAAGATCAGTTTGTGATGTTAACCATGGAATTTCTGGAATGGTCCTGGAGAAACTTATGTCCGAAAGGAATCACAATTTCCATCACTGCTATCAACAGACATTTAATAGATAGTAGACATGAAGTAGGCATTTTTATGGTGTTCACAAATAACGACAACAACGAATGTCACGTTCTACTTCGATGTGTCGAGGCTATTGCCATCACAGGTTTTTGATGTATGTGTACAGAAGGGAAATGTGTTCAACGTCTCTCCCTTTGTTATGGCAAATACAATTGTGGCCAAACATTTTTATCTAATAAACATTTTGAATTTTTCCTATCCGTTTTGAGGTACTAAGTTGATCTTAGTCCTAGTTATGTCACAAAAACAACGTGATCACTCTAATTTTTATAAGATTCTGTCATTACTCTTTTTTATAATGATTATTAATAATGACGATCTCACCTCCCATTTACCCCATGGCTTTTTTCCAAATACACGTCAATTCTGACTACTATGGCATGCAAGGAATTTGGCCACTGGTCTAAGTGATTCGAGATTATGGTAACATGTTAGGTGATTGGAGATATTCGAAAGGAACTACTGAACATGAAGATTAATGTTAGTAAGCACTGGTTGACAAGGCGTCTCTGTAATCCTGCGGAAAATGATGCTGCTTGTGGGATTTGATGTTGTGTCACCCAGTTTCAGTTTGACATGTTACAGAAACTAATCTCCGGTAAGACGAAGATGTTTACATTTAATTTGTCACAGAGTAGTGACCGATGACATGTTTGTCTAGTTCTTTAGTACTCATCGAATTCTATCGATCAAGTCAAAACGAGGTCAATAGTCTATTTTTCACAAACAACGCAAACCAGCTTGCATCCTATTGTTTCATTGTAACTTTACTATAACAGACGTTCGATTATAACTCCATTATTCATTGCGATATTAGTCTGTTTGCAGCTGATAAAAATCTCAAAATGGGATGGACTCATTTCATAGTGCAAAACATCACTGTTCTTGACATATTCAGAAAGTCTTAGGTTACTTAGGATGGGAATTAAGGTGTGCTTTGGAGATAGATCTCAGCGCCACTTTATCATGAAATGATCTGAGTCAAAGAAAAACAGGAGATCACCGGACTGTATTTTAGTGTAATCGAAAAAATTATGGTGTTTATGAAGTACACAAATGAAGGGAAGTAATTCAAACTAAATTTCGGGGAAAAAAACTAGTATTTTGTGACTTCAAGAGTTGGTTCACTATTAATGTCCACTGTCGTAGATATTTCTTTGTAAGGACCCACACAATTTATTAGTAGTTGTATTTAAATAAAATGAATGCCGAAGGATAGTTTCGTATTAGATTAGTAACTTTTGTATGTAAACCATTATACTTGAAATAAATGGCTTCACGATTTTTTGATGAGGATATTACCATTCAGATACTTCAACTTAACAGTGAAGACGCAATACATTTGTACTAGAGTGGTACAGATACTGTAGTAGTTCACTTGTCGACTATACTACCGGTATGCCGTTAGTAAGACATATCACCAATGGTGTTAAAAGATAAACAACTTTATACGACAACAGAATTGAACAGGGAAATGTTGGTTATTAAGTGCAGACTAAATTGTTGGAAAGTATCGTGTTCATCGTTAGAATTTAAGATATCCATGTTGGATAACTGGTGAGCTAGTGATAGGCCCAGAATGCTGAATCTGGAACTACAATTAAAAACAGATTATTTAAAGCTAACCGGCCTTTAATCAACCATTGATCGAAATCATTCGCCCTAAGATTTAAATTATTTTCAAACTGTATGGCCAGCAGGAAAAAATGATTGGCATACTTTATTGTTTTGTGTGTATATTCAATTAATTCACGGATATTTTGATTACTACCACTACTAATACTATTTTAATACACACCTGTATTTGTAAAACGAATAAACAGAGAAGAGAAAATCTGACAGGAGATGAATTATTTTAATTCGATAGTGAAATGATATTATCACAACCAGATGTCTGGATAATGATTTGATACTTTTCAATAACTAATAGGCATCTATTTGAATACAGATGATAAGCGATATGTAAATATATAGATTCTAAATACATTTCTGAAGCCATATTAATTAATTAGTGAGTAGTAACTAATGTTATACAAGCCTAATACTTGGTGCTATTTGGATTTTACTGATAGCATCCAACCAAGTCCCGATTTTCGTACCTACTTATCCCGAATGCTCTATAATCAATTTCCCAATATTATCAAAGTCCTAATATCATACCTTAACTTGTTTTACTACCCCTAATATCTATCTACATATCTGTCTCATACAAACAGGCTCATAATGAGTAATACAAGTAATTTACGCAGAATAATTAAGTAGAACGTACTGAGTTGAAAAAAAATCAAAACAATGCATCAAACCATGAAGTCATTGAGTTCTTATGTGGACCATGTCAGTAGGTGTAGAATTCCTTGTTAAGGTCCTTGTAATAGTCATAATTTATCTGCTCGATATTCTGAGCAACATACTTCAAATTGATCATAGCAGCGCAGTTGAATTCAAGCTCTCTTTTTGTACGGGTGTGCGGTATGACAACCTGGTTTGGTGAGCACTGGTATCAGGCTTAACGTCGACTATGACTAATTGACTGACTCAAGAATAATAATAGCACGAGGTGAAATAAATAGTTACAAATTCTGTTATTTATCTACGGTCATCATATTGATAGCTCGATAAGAATGGAATGAGACAGAAATGTCAAATTGTGTAAATAACCAGAAATAACAGACAAATAACCTTCTGATATCATGGAATTTCAAATTTGATAGTTGTGGTAAACTGTAAAATCTCTGAATCTTGGTTCATTAAAAAACTTAAAAATAAAAAACAATATCATCAGTAGTGTTATAAATGCTTAAGACATTGATTTCCTGCCTTGTTCTATGATTCCTCTCAGATTATTTACATATTTAACGTATATATCGGGTACAGATTTGTGCATTTAGCTTCGAGTTACAGTCAGTGTTCACGCTATCGGTTTCCCAAATCGATGTAGGTGGATCAGGGTTTGAACTTGTGGCTTAATTGGTGATAGTCGGTTGTATTATTCACAAGGTTACTACTCTACTCTGTCGTGTAATTTCTTGATTCTCAATGGTATTTTCTTATTGATGTTAGTCAGTTTATAATCTAGACATTATGTAATAATGTACAGTGATATTAATAAACAGATAAACAGGAATTATTACGAGGATAATAGTGAAAGGAATTGTTTTGATTCTCCTTTATAATTATTGATACTAACTAGGATGATAATTGTTTGATTTCATTTATAGTGTTTGTAATCTTAAGTATTTTTATGTTAACGTAAGCATAAACGTGAATAAAGATAGGTGTTGTTGATAAACTAGCATTTTTAAAAGCGATAGAATGAATGATACAAACATCGGAAATCATGGAAGAAATGGTGAGAGATAGCAGTTGATCGAGTCAATTAGTGATTATGATATATGATCTATGCAATAAATAGGAGGACTAAAGTTTTATAATCTTTAAAACATCTAACATTTTTCATAATACACTTATCGCACCACTATTGTTAAACACATGTGTGGTTTTTCAATTATTCATGTCAGTCTATCAGTAATTAGAAAGTATAAAACATTGCAAAAATCTGACGTTCTCATCACCAAAAGAAGTTAATAATTATCTTGAATTTGGAACATTATTGATATCATAATGGCCACCAGTGAAGCGTTTGAAACATATGAAAGGAGCTGTTTTCTTCAATGTGTAATTTTTAAGGACAGATATCGACACCACATGAGTTTCCTGAGATGATTCTTAGTTCCCATCATGAACTGTTTGTGGATAGTTTAGTCAAGAATTAGTTGAATACAACACATACTTTCTATAAACGATAGTATATACACAAGTATGGTTGAAAACTTTGTAGCAGCCTCATATTGCATTATTCACTATTAGCATGGGAAGTGCACGCTGCTTAAACCCCCATTCGTACTATAAATTGACGTTACGTGCCAATGTCTGAACTGGTATAACGCCAAATAATCCTATATCGATCACGTAAGTCATTTGGATAGTACTGAAGTTTTTTTTTATTAATTCACGTGATTAATTGTGAGTTTCTATCCACGTACATTTTCACACGTATGAGATATTTGTTTGTTTATGTTTACATCTAGGTAGACCATATATACTCACTAAATAATTCATACAAAGATTGATTGTCAAATCAATCACATGTCTGGTTTGCTGGTCAGTGTCTCCGAAATATATCCATTCTCAAAATAGTTCGTATCAAACTATCTAACATTATGTTGTCAAGCGAATTTGATTGTGTTGAGTCGGCTTCCGGAGAACTCTAACAGAGCCTCCAGAGGCTCACATAAAGAGCCCCCGCCAATCAGAATACGATGGAACATTCTAGAGTTCCAACGTGGCGTGATACTATTGGTCGGTATCATAATATGTCGTTAATGGATTGGCTAACATCTATAAATACCTATGATTTTCTGTAACAAGATTGAACCTTGCAGTAAAAGTGCTTCCCACACACTTTGTGCCTTTCCTCTGGTCTTCAAGTCGGTGTATAGTTCTAGCTCGGGGTTTACGGAACTAGCTTAGGGAATCGAATATAGCGTTCAAAATCGGCCAGTTATAACAGATTGCAGAAGAAGTTTAGTCTAGAAAATATACAAAATTGACTTGGATATAGAATAATTGAATTCAGATTGTTACTCAAATGTACAGACATGAAGCGTGGCAATTCAAATCAACATCTATTTGTGCGACGGTTTGAATTACTTATGACCGAATGACTGATGCTTTTTTAATGATGCAGTGTATACCATATGTACGATTGGAGGTGTATCCATGTTTAAATAAAAGGTAAACACTGAGAAGTGGTTTAAACGCAACAGTAACAACATATTTGACTGAAGTGTAGAATAATTTGAGTTACACTGTAAAAAGGAATTGAAAAAAAGCCTTACTAAATTGCTTCAATGTTAAATTATTAAACTTGACGATCATATTGAAAAACTGGGTAAGTGAAATTTGTTAGAGTCCCAAAATACTCCTAAGAAAAGTCAAAAGAGGCTCAGAAAACACTGAGAAACATATTACCCAATTAGGATTGGATAGGAGTGTCTTCGAAACATCTAGAAGGATGATAGAAAACGTGTCAAATATTTGATTGGACAGTTTTTTTCTTTACTGTTGTACTTAGTATGCTCCTAGATTATCACAATCACGTTCATTGGTCTAAATATGCACGACTTTCTTTATATACCTGAAACTCGGGGTAATGTGTTTTTTTTACACTTTGAGCCGTTTCTCTTGTGTTTAACTTACTAAGTAGATTTAGTTTGGCATAATAAGAGGCGTCTAATAAATCGGGTCAAGGGTTCAATTAACAGACTTATCAAATTCAATTAAGAATAGAAAGATTGAATAGTGTATTTTTCATCGTTGTTATTATTGAGCTCTGATTTAGTGGGACTGTTACGATTTTCTGTTTTAAAAAGAAACGTGACAATGTCAGCTTGTACAGCTTAACAAAGGCTTTGTTGATTGTAGCGCTGAACGTGTTTTGAATTAAATTTTCCAATTGATAAGAAGCACTGACAAATTACAATATACTGCTATCACTACCACCACGTTCTTTTAATTCAAACAAACAAGAGTGCGAAATCAAACAATATTCCTTAAATTTTTAAGGAAGAATGATAGAAACAGAACAGTCTTCATTGACCTTGACCTATTCTTGTATTGGCTTAAGTTACTAAGCGATCTAATTTACAAAAAAAACATAAATATACTTGAGGTTGCATAGATGTATGTGGTATACCTTCAGTATTGACTATTAACTTGTTTTAATTTTATCCAAGATGAATTCCAACCACAATTCAATTAAACATTAACGATCTACCATTAATTAGACAAAATTTAAGTATTATTATTTCTTCAGGAACAAAGTTAATTATCTAACTAAACCAAAAGGGAGTTACTAAAAAAATAAGTATGAAGTATGGACGACTTCTAAATTCAATAATCCTAGTCAAATGCACATAAAGTGAGACTTAGATTGAATTTCCAGGGTGAAGTTAACAGAATGATGCAACACTCTTTTGAGTTATAGCTATAACTTAGGACGAAATAACTGTCCAATACTGATTTTCAGTGTTACTCTACACTATCCCTCCAGATATTGTTAAATTCATGGTGAAAACAATCAACCTATAAGACATACAAAGTGGTTGTGTTTGTTTTCCTGTAATTAATAATGTAATAAGTGAGATTGTATTCTAGTCGAATTTTTTTTGCAAAATGCTAACTGATTATCGAGTAATGAGGGAAAGCATATTTAACTAGTGTTTGGCTGTGGTCGAATTTTACTGATCAGTCACTTCAAGATTTCGGGCATGCCTTGCTGTTGACTGATCACCAAGTAGAGCAGAAATTAGATTCAAAGATTTCGGACGACTAATTTCAATAAACTAAATCTGTACAGTTAGCAAACTTAAGTTCATTACTATTTAACATTTGTATCTAACCAAGTTGAAAAACTAGATTGATTCTAATAAAAGAAATTGTCGATAAAAACGAAATTGTCCTAATTTGTATTCATGTTAAGTGTCTTGAATGAAGTAATGATTTCTACACTGTATTTATGGTGAAAGTATTACTAGTGTCGTTTACATTCAAGAATCGATATTCCCTTTTCCTATAAATCATTTGAAATTACACTCCTCGTATTGTTTTAAACTATTATGACAATTTTTTTATACCTTCTAATACTTTCATTTCTACAGAAACAATTCGATAATCTATAATTTCGAAAACTTGACCCCAACCGCGCGAGCACACACACAGGAGATCAAGACTGATATTTTCAGTTCTCACCGAGTGCATGGGTACATACATGAATCAGAATTTAATAAATCAATCTTGATTTAACATTAGTTGATATGCAAGCTAACATGATTGGTAGGTGATAATTCGCATCACTTTTACCTTGATTGAACTATGAAATACCATTTTAAAGTTAGGAAATAAATGAATACACAAATGTTATTTGCCCAGTTTTAGGTATTATTGAATCGCTCAATCAGTCAGTCAGCTACAACGTAGGACCAGGCACATTTATGCAGCGTCCAAGTTGCCATACCTCGTTAGCACAAGATGAACACCGGATTCATAGAAGTAGTTAATTTAGTGGTGGTGGTAGTATATAAATTATAGGTTGTATATAAGGATATAGTATAGGAAGGAAGAGAGATATGAAGCAATTTTAGTATCAAGGTTTAAGGAAAGATAAAAAGTGCATACACCTACGCCATTGTGATCGATTCTGAGCCATGTCACCCAGTCTCCAACCATTGGTTCCGATAGTCACGCGGACCCTAACCAAGTAGTCTGCATCTGTCAACATGGCTCAGATTAGTAAATAGTCTTTTTATAATTTCAAAGTAACTTTCATCACGAACTAACTAACATATATTTAACACAATTCATTTTTCAATCAACGGATCTTCAATTCAGAATGTAAATCTTCACTGAATATTGTCTTCAAATAACACTATATATAAATAAACTTTCAAATAATTTGAAACGAAATAATTTAAAATGAACCAATTTGGACAATTATGAAATGATGACAGTTACTGTTTATAACTTATAAAGTTAAACAATGAAAACAAATAGAAAAAAAAACTTACCTTGAGCTAATATATATGCACGTGGACATTGATAACCATCAACCCAATTTGCATGTATATAAGTATTATCTGATAGTTCCACAGCCGTTGAATCTAAACAAGGAACATCTAGATAACGGTTACGACGTTTATTTGATGCTTGTCTATATAAATATAAAAAAAAGAAAATACAATCATAATGGATAAAACATAAATAAACACTGATGAATTAGTCAAGTTCAATCATAAATGAATTTTAAATCTAACATTTTGATATAAATGTACTTATTAATCGAAGACTTCTTTTTTTAAATCGTTAACAAGAAAACATAAAGAATATGGGAATATTACGGTTCTAGAAAAACAACGTGAAAAAGAAACAGATCTACGCCCATTTCTTTTTATTTGTGATAATGACCGGTCAGGAATTAAGTTTGATAATAAAGATATCAAAAAAATCACAGAATGAATGATCTAACTAGTTTTCATATGCTTTAATCGTTTATCTGTTAGGTGACTTTTCATTATTTTTTTTATCTAATGTTTTGTATATGAGCATTTTCTGTTGTTAGAAGAAAAACTTATTGACCTAAGTCACCCACAATCCAACTGAACTGATATCAGAAGACAAGATCACCAGTGTGAAGGATAATTCGGTCTCATGAGCAACCATCATTTGGCCCCACATCGTATCATTGTACACTAATAATCGATTGATTGGTGCACTTCGCCTATTAATTAAACAAGAATATTTTTATCACAAAGCATAAAGGGTTGATTCATAACCAATTCTACAGTGACAGTTGTTTTAAGCAAACGGATTACTGGATGATGAGAAATTGAATATTTTACATCGAATGTGAAGCAGAGATGTTAAGTTGATGAAAGGTAACTATGAGAAGACATTGTTTAGAAACCCAGCTGTTTTCTTTCAAAATAAGTATTTTAGGAGTTGATTCGATCAAACTGTTGATTACAAAGAGGATATTCGTAGGCTACTAGTATTCGATCATCGGTATCTTTGAAGCATTGCTCGTATATCCTGGGGTCACCGAGTAATTAATGCAGTTGTTAGGAAACGGGTACTAGGTAAGGATGGCAAATCTATTGATGAAGTAGTGAAACTTTATCAGTTGAGATCGCTGAGACACGTGTTACGTATGCTTAACCACCGACTGCCCAGACGTGCGATGTTTTATGGTGTAGGAGTAGGTTGCAAGAAAGCTAGGGGGCGGCCTAACCAAAACGTGTCACAAATCCATGAAGTCATTAACAACTGGACCTCGCCATGTTGGTAGGTGTAGACTACCTGGTTGGGATCCGCAATATGATTGCAATCGATGGTAAGAGAACTTGATTGACATGGCTCTACTGTATGGAGATGAAACTTGGAGAACTACCAAAACTACCACCAAAAATGTGAAAGTATTTATAAACAATTTTGTAAACAAGATACTCAATGTTCGTTGGCCGGATATCATCAGAAACAGCCTACTATGGAAGAGAACAAACCAGCCTCCAGTTGAAGAGGAAATTAGGAAAAGACGATGGACGTAGATAGGATATACATTAAAGAAACCATCAGACTGAATCACGAAGAAAGCCTTAACTTGGAATCCTGAAGGGAAACGAAAATGAGGAAGACCGAGGAAACAGACAAGAAAAAGAATGATTAGCAACTGGAAACGGTTGCCCAGGACAGAGCTGGATGGAGAATGTTGGTGAGCGGCCTATTCTCCTCCACAAGCGGTAACAGCCGTAAATAACTAGGCAAGTAACGTTGTGAATAACTAGTGGGAACTCATGAATTATTCTATTACCATTCTTATTTTTTCTTCATTCAAATTCATAAATGTGAAAAAAATGTAAAAAAAATGCAGAACATTTTTTAAAAACTACACTGTTAAATTTTCTGGCATAAATACAAATATGTACAATTGATTACTGTTTATAGTAATATGGTGGTTAATAAATTAGTTCTCTATTTATCAATAAGTTGTTCAACATTTCATTAGTTTAAAACTAACTTTTTTATATAGAATAATCTACCCTATTTGCTAACATTCACATAATGATCTGTTTATAATATGGCATACATTAAACCTGAGAATTTTTTTTATTGGGAATTACTTTTATAATCATACATAACTGATCGTATTGGAAGTGTTTCAAAGTTGTTGTTTTTTCTTTGACACTAATATATATATAGATACATAATTAGTACAAATTTGTTTTTCTCATTTGGTTTCATTTACATCATTAAAACCTTTAGGTCACATGATGAGAGCAAAAAGTGTAAATTACCTAAATGGAATACGTATTTTGTATCACTTTGATTCACTATATATCTAACGTTAATTGATGATGTAAACAATCATCAGAAAAACAGAAAAAAAAGAATAAGAAACAGAACCATTGATGAATTGAAACTAACACATACGATCAAGAGAAAAAACAAGGATATTACGATCATGAGATTTGAAAGTGAAAGTCTTCAGTTCGATTCAATGTAAATTAGCGTATACACATTGTTTAGTGTCAAACTAAAAAAGTTCCTGGTTGAAGGTCAAATATTTCTCCCATTAAATCATGCATAACTCCAACAAGTGACTAAAGGGAATGTGAATCGGATTGATGAAAAGAAAAAGCACATAAGTAATACTGTAAGACCAAAGGCCCTGAGCGACCAATAAAAATAAGGCTGAGGTGCAAATTTAAAGCGATGGTCCAGATATCTTGTTACTAAAACTCATGGTTTTCACCATATTTCGTATTTTGAAAGGATGGGATGATTTTTTTTCTAGGGGAATGAACTGTTAAGGTCAGTTTGCTTGGAGTAGGAGTGTTAAGGTTACGAGTTTTAGAGTTAGGATCCACGGTTAAGAAGTTCTAGGGTTAGGAACCAGAGTTAAGACTAGAAGTATCAGTGTTGATGACCAGTGTTAAGAAGTATTATGGTTAGGAGTCAAAGTCTAGAGGTTTATTGGTTAGGACGTTTTACGGTAAGGAGGGTTAGGAGCTGGGGCTTAGGGGTTTCAGGGTCAGGAGTTGTTTTAAAAGATGCAGAGCTAAGAATCAGGATCAATCCTGATTACAGAACTATGACATCCAGCCTGAATTCTTGATACTTAGGATCAATAAGTTCATTAATGGTTTTAAAACTTCTGATCCTCTGCATTTCTATCGTTTTTTCATACATTTGAGAGCTCTTAAGTGAAAGCTGCATTCGTACTGGTTATTACTGATGAGGTTATATTAAGGCAACCCATAAATTTGTTGGAGTTTATCGGTATAGTATGGTCTTGCCACTAATACTACAACAACAATTATTATTACTACTTCGACAGAAATCTGTAACAAAGATAAATCCTTTTTATCGTACTATTGAGATATCAATGAATAAATGATTTTTCCTTCAAACAAAAAACAGTTGTAAATAACTTACGCAAAACGTGTACAAGCACCTTTCACAGGACTATCTTTAAATAATGCATCAAATTCTAAAGTTAATCCAATAGAACCAACACTTTGCACTCTGGTGATAAATTCCGATACAGACAAACGTGTTTCCGACAAAGGATTAGTAACATATAATTGATCTTTAGAAGAAGAATTATGAGTCGAATATATTGAACCATTACTAACACTGCTGATATTATTAGCTAGTGTTGTTATTATATTAGTTCTGTGTCTAAATGAGTTGGAATGAGAAAGATGACGATCAGATCGATAGAATACACGTCGTTCATTAGGAAACATAGATGATGTACAACCTTTATTATTATGACTAATAGATGTTTCAAACATTGAATCAGTCATACGATTATTAGTCAATAGTCCACGACGTGGTAATGGTGATGTTTGTAAACCAACAGTATCTCCTATTGGCCGTGTTAATGGTGAAATTCTTCCATTTATTGTATTATAATGTTGTGGTTGTGTTGATCCATGAACTATGGAAGAAAATGATGATCTGGATATTGTCGTTATAGGTGATGATGACGAAGCTGTTATGATAGTTGTATGCAAAAAATCATCTGAACATCGTCGATTTTTCACAGGAACACGTAATGATCCATGAATAGAAGACAGAGAAATACCCTTACTATTAATACTACCATTAGTAATAATTTTGTCAGTATTATCATCAACATTCTCATGATTATAATTATTATTGTATAAATCAAGTTGAACAATTAATTCATTGCCTAGTAAAGGATTATGTAATGCTGAATAAATTGAATCAGATGGTCTTAATGATGATAATTGTGACAATTTAAAATAATCAGTTGGCATACGTGAAAAATGACCAGTACGTTTAAAACAATTTAATAACCAATCAAAATGTTGATTTAATGTTAATTGACCAAATAAACGTTTCAATGTGGAATTTGGCAAATGTACATTTAATTCATCATAACCAACAGAATATATCTAAAAATTAAAATCAAATCAATGAAATTAGATTAGACGATTATATTTAATTCATTATATATTATATTATATAATTAATTAATAATCAGATATAGGGAATCGTGGAGATTGTAGTAATGTTAATGGTTGAATTCAACAGTCGGTTTAAGCTAGACAACCATTGAAAACCAAGAAGCACTGGACGGCCGTTTCGTCCTAGTATAGGACACTTCAACAATGCGCATCAACGATCCAGAACCAAAGGGACTCGAACCCAGGACCTTATGGTGCTTTAGTGAGAAGTTGTGAACAGTAGACCGGTTCGTGTCCGGTGGAGACAGTTATACACTTTAAAAAATGGATGAAGAGTTGCGCAAGACCATGAATCGATTAAAGTTAGGCATTCACAAAATTGGATACCAGCCCAGTGGTCTAGAGGTTAATGGTTAGAGCGAGAGATCAAAAATCCTGTGCTCAGGTCCCACATGCGGGATCGTGGATGCACACTGATGAGGAGCCCCAAATTGTGACGAAACGGCCGTCTAATGCTTCCGGGTTTTCACTGGTGGTCCAGCTTACATCAATTCACAAATTAAACTATTAAAATCAATTAATTAACAAGTGTAGACTTAAAGCATAATTTTTGTGTGGTATGTGGAGTGTAAATCTCGTATATCTTAACCGAACTAGACGAAATGATGTACAAACAATTGGGATCAGTCTTCGACACAAACCCATATTAGACCGGGGCTGGAAAGGGAGAATTTGAGCATTTGGAAATCATGTGATCTCATAAAGCACTTGTAAACTGATAAATAGCAGTAAGCGAAAGGTAAATATAAAATGACTTGACAACGTGGAATTTATCCTCGCTCATTATGAGTGAGGTTGAACACACCGCGATGAATATTCAGCTAGTTTTTAGCCAATCAAAAAACAATTTTGCTTTTGTCAATCATCACGTGACAAAATCGTTAGTCAAAAAACCGACTCCTGTGACCTTATTCCTGAGCTAAACCAATGATGCATTAACCAACACGTCCAGCTTTGAGTCAACTCTGAGTCCTTATTAGTCCTTTGTATAGTAGCTTCTCGACTAAGCCAGACTATTCAGTCCAGAACGCAAATATCAGCCTGCGCTATATGGATCATATATTCCAGACATACCTAGTTTATATACAAGCAGACCAGACTGCATCACACTATAAAATGGAAGTAATCATTATACAAATCAAGCCAAGAGTGGATGTGAGTGTAACTAGAAGATTGGGAATAAATTAAGAATAGTAAATCTTATAACAGTAGCCAACAGGTCAAATGAATGTTTATGACAGAAGAAATATAAATATATAAATTCTAGTAACATAGCAATTATACAATCAGAATATGTACATATATAGTTTGGATTATCTCCTTGAACTATAACTGAAAAGCCTGCTAAATAAATGATCGGTCCGACTTTCTAGTTACTTTTAATAACACCCGGGCTAAATCTACACTGTGACTTGAACACAAAAGAAAAGGAGAGAAGTGAGAAAGGAACACTTTACTTTAAGGTTAGTTTATGTACAGAAACACGAGGATATTTATAGAGTTACAGACGACTTTGGGCTTTCGAAAGTTTCTGGAATTGAACTAAATATATTAGCAAGATAGGTAATTAGAAACGTGACAGTAACTAATTTTTAGATATTCATGAAAAGTTTTTATTCAACGCTGACTGGATGAAATGTTTTCCAGCGTTTGCTGATTTCTTATGGTTTTCCCTAAAGAACACTTTGGAACTTCTCAATAATAAGAGAAAAAACAATTGGAAGCTACTACTATCTTCCTCAATTTTTATTGATTTTTAAGTTGTGACATTGTCGATTTGAGATGAAGATAAAAAACAAAATGAACTTTAAAACTAAACAAAAATCATTTCCTTTTTTTTGGCACAATTAAAAATATGAGAATGGATTCATAGAACTAAATTAATTAACTTTACAAATGAATCAATATATAGTACATCCAATTACATATAATCAGTTTGTCTAGAATTGTTAAAAGAATTAGCTGAAAAAAGATAGATCAAATCTTTATTAAGCAAATTTAAATTAGAATCCACATAGTTATTGAATAAATTCATTGTAATAAGTTAAAGTTAGGGTCAACAGGCTACTTACTATATTTAGATTTATTTTTTTTCTGAAATTCAAATTGTATATTTTCAATTGAATTTTTTTGGAACTATATATTTGGAAACTGCGGCAACTATAACACATAGTTCTAATTGTATATGTGAACTCTTTTTAACTACATATATATACATCGGTTTAGAGATAGGAGACAGTTGATACAAAAACTATTGGTTTCTTTTTTTTTGAAACACGTTGAAGGTAATCTTCAACAAATACCACTATTATTAATGTTAGTTATTACAAGCAAAACACAAATGCCATATTCATGTCACACTATTGTATATATATATATATATATATATATATATATATATATGTATTATTAATTAAAAGTAGTGTATCTCCGTCTATTTAAACTTCTTCTTTCTTATTTTATAAGAAATAGATAAACCATTATGCTATATTTGTAAAGCTGATGAACATATTAGCAGGACCCATATTTTGTAATAGACCTGTATTCAATAGGGTACGTGTGATCTTGATGACTGAATTTCAACGACACAGACAATTGTTTACTTCTCACTTTGGATAGTTGATATCACTTCAAAGTAGGTGTAGAATTCTTGTTCCAAAAAAAAGTTTTATTTCATAGTATTTATTGCACACATTAGTGACTATATTAGAGGTGAATTTCTCTTGGAATTTGCATAAAAAAATTACATATAATGTCTTGAATGAGACAATTTCTTATATTCAGTAGAAGTCCCAATGACATTTTCTGTTTTCTGTCCAGCTATCACTAACGTAAATTTGTTAATTCTATTATTTCATAAGATCATCACATGTTACTAAACATAGAGTTTCTCTATTTCAAATTAACTATGTTGAATGACAAGCTTTTCTTACATTCATGTCTTCTACTTGGGTTTCATCTCGTTGGGGTTAATTAAGAGAGCGCTTTGAGTATCAGTGACTGGTAGTATCGAGTTTGCATTAGTTCCCGATGGCATTATAGGAGAACCTTAATCGTAGACCCAAAAAAACTCAGATCACAAGATTTATTAGTTCGATTAATCGAGAAGTCAACCATTGTGGCATACATGCACATACTAACGTTATGTTTAGTTATTTTGTAGGATCCCAGTTTCGTTCATTTACTCATTTGAACACTCATGATGAACACGCAAGTTTGATATTTATTTAGTACGCACCTTCTCCAGCTCCGTCATCATCACTACCATCCTGTTACGTTGTTTGTTTTTTGCTTATTCTTTAAAATGATGCGAAAAATATACTTGTTTTTCTCGTTTCCCGGACTCTCGACAAACAAACCGATGCATCAGATGAAAGTAACATGTAATGGGGCAATGAGCGAAGACATATACAGCTGTTAGATATAGGAGACTACGTAAGCGTAAAAGGGACTCTATACTGACTTCAATGTATATTGACTGAACTGAAACCTTGTATAAGTATACTATCATTCTAGATTAAGTTCTGATCAATATTCGGATAATTTTATCACTGAGTTATGTGATCTAATATCTTGATCTATCTACTGATCCGGATGTCCATCAATAGGTGATCTGGTATTAAATTATATTGTATATTTTCAAATGTAAGTTCACGAACACCAAGCACAAACATATTCTATTTTTCCATTACAACGGTAACATAGAATGTTACATAAGCAGTCAGTTTTCTTATTAAAGAAATTATAAACAATGAAATTTTTTGGAGCAAAATGTGGCAGGAAATATAAAGAGTGCTACGAAATCTCAAATGAAATAAATTTATTTTTTACTCCACGTATTTTATTATTTCCAAAGACAAACTTATTTATTAAATAAATGATATTTTAATGGTTGAGATCATGAATCAATTGAAGCTATACCACTATGGAGAACCTGGAAGCACTGGAAGGCCGTTTCGTCCTATTGTGAGACTCCTCAGCAGTGCGCATCCACGATATTATTTTTGGTCATAACGTAAAAACAAAAGCCTAATTGTTATGGCATTTGATTTAGGCTATGGGTTCGAAACCCGCTAAATATGTTTACTTTAATTCAAGGATTTATGTAGCATAATTAGACTTAACATATAAATATAAACATAAATACCAATTCATTTAGAATGCATAGATTATTACGTTTTGACACACTGTTTGTGTATAAAGGCATATGAAACTACATCCCCAAATACCTAAACCAAAATAGACGGAATAGGGATTTAAATATTCAATTTATTTGATTGTACGTAGAAAGTGTGGCTGAACAAAATTAAAATTCAGAATTGATTATTTCATCGTCATATGATATTGCTTGATATCGATAAAAAAGAGTTCGGGAATACATGATAAGCATTTCAACAATACACACTATGGGTTCTGTTTCTGAAGATAAGTAGACAATAATTGAGGGCAAACATGTTGATGTCGCGATTGTCATAGTGTATGAGATGTGAAGTCATCTATTATAAATTAGTAGCCACTGTAACTTGATTGATGGAATTCGATCAACACTAATGCCTTGGCAAAATAAGGCATTAGTTACTAGTCTGTGATCACTGAGTGTAGTTGATCATCTTATTAGTGAAATATTTGTGCAAATATGATTATAGCATCTGTAGTGTTCTATCACTTATCAATTTAGGGGATTTGTGAAGATCGTAGTATTTTTATTTAGCTGAATGCATACGTAAAAAAATTTCTCACCGATACACATTTTTCCCAGAATGCCACTTAATTCATCTAAGATATGGAACACATTTCATAGAACACATACGCACGCGCGTATATGAAGGTGTATATTACACAAACGAACATATTTAACACTAAACTAGCCATCGAATATTGATGAATAATTAGTTATCCCATCATAAAATGATAAATATGTTAAATTT